TCACAGCGGTACATCAGCGTGACTATTAACAATTTTCCTGTGTTTACAGCTGGAAACTACCTCAGACATCACAGTGGTATCAGAAAGTACACTGTAGGAAATCAGCAGTACTAATGTGATGATTGCTCATGAACTATGAAGTCCTTTGTTTTATTGAACACGATATCCTTGTAGATTCCGGCTTTCCGCTTATTACAGTTCGATTGCGTTTCTGAGTTCTGATTTCATCTCGAGTCCCAGTTCTGGGTTGGACTATTGCTGCGCGTCTTTCGATACGTATACGAATTACTAGTCCGAGTGATTATCACAACTGGCGGTCGTTTTGAACCAATCGATTCCTGTGGTTTGGAGAACCTGAATATACATGCCAGTGCGCGTGAAATCGAGGATTACCTTGAACAATTCGAGACTTGGTCATCGGAATTGAAGCCTATTCCCTGTTGAAGAATTTGGCTTTTCCTGACACTCCTATATCTTTGTCGTATGCATCCTTTAAAACCTTGCTGCTAAAATACCTACAGCCAGGTAATTTCGAAGCCGCTGAGAGAGCCGAATTTCACTCGCTCACACGTGGTGGAGGCCAACCCATACGTGAATTTAGTCTCCAGCTGCAAACTCATGCATCGTTGTAATTTCGGAGACCAACTAAAAATCCAGCTACGTGATCGATTAATTGTTGGTATTAATTACCCAGAACCAACTAAACGGCCAAAAATGCATCCAAAAATCCGTTACAGTTGTGGTCAATTCACTTGTGATTGAGTATTTAGAGGCAAAATCATCCAAGGGGTATGTTACATTTCCAACAATCCTGGACATTGACTGGATAACCCTACTGTGATAGTAGGACGTAACTGTAGATTCCGTGTGCAACCCGGTGCTCAAATGTCTGGACTCATCATCCTAATATGTACGTGTACCCATATCACCTGAGAGTCTGCAACACAAGTTTACCGAGCATTTATTCCGGAGGAGGATCGAGTGATCGCGGCTGCTTCGATCGAACCGAGTGTACAACAGCTTTTGTGCGCCTCAACCCAGGCTCTGCCCATTACGTTTCCTGACATAAGAATCCAAACAGAANCAAACAGAAAACGACCCATTGTTAAAAAAGTGATTGATTTCGTTAGGACAAAGTGGGCAGCTCATATATTTGACGAATGGGTACGTCATTTTTATCAACGCCGCGGAGAGCTAACTGTGGTCGACGAGTGTCTTCTGTTCGGCGAGCGTGTTGTCGTGCCCAGTGCACTTCATGGTCATGTTTTATAGTATCTGCACTCATATCACCCTGGAATGACATGTATGAATGCTCTGACCCGAAGCTATGTGTAATGGCCATTCAAGATTGTGGCTACATGCAGAAATTTTGTTTCGGCAGCAAAGGGACCAAGAATTATGGGCAAACTGTCAACAACCAGCGTCAAGAGAAACTTTCAGATTGGAGCCCCGGTCTATGCTCTTGACATACGGCCGAATCATCCAATATAGCAGCCGGGAGAGGTAATCAGACGGAGGACAAATCCGGTATGGAGTACTTGTTGGGCCAAACATCTTGGCGCAGGACGTAAACCAAATGCGTAAACGCATGAGACGCTTGCTGGTCCGTCGAACTATCAACGGCTTGATGTGTTGTTGGACCCGTTCGAAATCCCGACAGCCGTTGACGTTAGTGAACGACTGACGACACCACCAGGGTCATGTGACGGACAACAGCGAAGGTTAAGCCACTCAAAGCAGCCCGCACAACGGTGGCGAGTAGACCCCCGATTACGGTCGAATGATCGGAGCCAAGTATGCACATTTGACGGGAGATGTGCGATGGCCGAGCGGAGAAACCCAGTTATGTGCGTGCGCGCGTGCGTACATCCACCCACCCACACCGGTCACGGCTGACTAACAAGGCCTTCGCATACCGCCTGATCAAGTGAATGCGGACAGACACACAGGTGAAACAGCGCGAGTATTGTTCTTCCTATCCTTATAACCCACGTCGGCTATCTTGCTTGATCAGTGTGTCAAGTGAGCTCAGTTGTCGGACTATCGTGTTCTTGTGACTCCTACCTACGTAGCAAGGGATATAGCAAGAAGATTAACGCCTATGATCAACACACAGTACACAATCGAACTCTGTATATATACCGTTTCTGGTCTGATAAGAAATGACAGCAAGAACGCCACTGCTGTCGATTCGTGGTCATATCCTCCGTTGTCCCCAGGCAGTTCTGTGTTGATCAAATATTCACTTTAGGTCGACTATAGGAACATAGCCAAAAGTTTCAACATCCCACAGCAGTCTGCTTCATGTAATTTCGTGCCGCATTCGATTCCGTAGATCGCGAATTCATCTGGAACATAGTCAAGGTGGATGGTGTCCCAATTGAACTCGCCAACTTTATGAGATCCTATTACTCTAACAGTAGTGCACGAATCTGCATCTACGGCGAGGAGCCATACGCGTTCGAGTTACGATCTGGGTTACGACAGGAGTGCCCATTGTCTCCAATGCTGAATGATACCAGAGAGCTCAGATCTCTCTGAACTTGTGACTCATCGACTGAGAATTCGTTGATGGTATTGTTGCCTTTGGTGAGGACGTGTCCAACCTCCAAGTAATCGTGGACCGCATCAGTCAACAAGCCTCCGAGATCGGTTTAGAGGTGAACACATCAAAAACCAAAACGTTTGCAACAGTCGCAACTCATCCCGAAAATGCTTTACTACTAAACGGCGAGCAGAACGAATCCGTCGAAAGCTTTAAATATCTGAACTTAACCTTACTTTCCAACGGTCAAACTAACGAAGAGGTACAAGTGCGCGTCGATGTTGCAAGAAAGGCGATTTCACAGCTGATTATTTTTTTAGAAATGAAATCAGCCTAAAGACAGAAATAGGAGTTTTCTCCGCAGCAGTCCGTCCTGTCATGCTATACGACTGTGAAACGTGGCTACTAAGAGTAGAAGCCTTCGGTCACTGGTGCTTAGGAATAATTCTTGGAGTTCGATGGAGGAATCAGTTCTCAAATGAAACAATCAAAAAACAATTTTTTAAACTTATACGGCTGTGAACACTAATGCAACGGCGGCGACTACAATGGTTTGCCCACATATTTCGTAAGTCTGATAACAACCTGACCAAAGCTGCCTTGGCACCGTCTCCCTGCCCGAACTGGCGCTGTCAACACGGTGGACAGCTGAAAGCCTGGCTAGATACGGTACGCAAGGATACAGAAAATTTTGGCGTCCGCAATGTCTACAGCAATCGTCGATGGAAGTCAAGCTGGATCACAATCTGCGGTGATCTTGCAGCAGGACACCGAGCGTGAGCAGCGGCAATTCGGGATATTCAGTAAACCGGCTTATCCTCTCCTAGGAGCTAGCCGCCGTAAAGCACTTAATTGAATATCCTGCTGCGGCTTCTCACTTAGTGTGGTACAATGTGCGACAGTTTGATATTGGCGTATCCATTTATGAAGAACCATCCATGCTTTTCACCGTTCACCTCAGGCGCATTCATCCACGTTAATGCTCTAAAACTTCCGACTAAAATACTGGTGTTATTCCTTTACCCTCTGAGTGTATCATTTGGAATTTCCTTCAAACTCACGTTTTTGCACCCATAATTGATTCTTTTAAACAGACTGGATGAATCATTATGATTTATTTAATTTTACCATCTGTAGTAGCACACGAAACAGTATGGCATTCCTCATCTCTCTCTGATCGGTTAATCGAGCTGGTTCTGCGAAAAACCCTAGGGGACATAAAAAATAATCGCTTTTATTTCCCATATTAAAACCTTGACATTTCCAAGAAAAACAGAAATTGCGCACGAGTGGTAGGCAGGTTTGCTTTCGTCCGGCTGATTACCATACCTGACCGAGCGGGACCTCAGGTGGTTTATCACGCTTAGTCCCGGGGCTTATGTTGCCGTTTTTCAGGTCCTCGTGACCATGATGTTTAACCCCGTCTGCTACTCATCACACAAAAGGTGTGCAATAAAAAATCCTTTTCTTCAATGTTTACGAGTTTGCCTATCCTTCGGACACATCATCCGGGATAAAATCGATCTGAACACGAGAATACTGAATTTTATGATTCCAAGTTTACGCGTTGTCATTAAACTGAGGATAGTAGTGTGAACAAGGCATTTATTGCACGCATTTACTGATATACTAAACAAACATTTACGAGGTGACTGGAAATTCGTTCATTCGACTGCATAATGCTAAAACTGACTTGACTTGAATACCGAAACCGAGTTACTTCGCTATTCAATGGTTTGTTTTCAACATGGTCTCATATCCATCAAAACACCTTGACAAGTCAATTAGTGGCCGTGACTGACTGATTGAGAACCCTTTGTGCTCGTGGCCTCTTTTGGTTATACATCCACAAGGCCGGTGATGGACTGAGATGAGGAATGACTAGAATAGTGAGTAAATCGGGTGATATAGAACAAAAACAGATAATATAAAACAGCCAAGTGACGGTTTGAAGGAAGATTCTGTAGTCAAGATGTTCACCAGTTTGTTCGCATTTTCTTTTGTTACAATAGCAAAACCACTTATCTGATGTTCTTTTCATGTTTGAATATTGTGATAACAGGCCAACCGCAGTCTCGCTACTCGCACGATGTGAGTAGTACCTCACGACAATAGGAGACCACTTGATGGCCTGTCTAGCAACCGACCGATCTCCAAAAGCAGTTCCTATAGCTGAATGAAACGTACTTAACTTTTAAATAATTTACAAGTGTTATTTTTCAGCTTCTTTTTACCAGTCGAGAATGAACCTGTACCTAAACTGCACTATTGAATCATGAGTAGTGGTGACATTTTGGCAAGCAACGAGTAGTACGGAGTCGAAACAACAAGGCTGTATATGAGAGGACAGAACGCCTGTGCGTCTGAGAGAACAAAGAGACAGGAAGAAGAAGAAAGGAGTGGATAAAACTTCCAGTTCCAGTCAGGCAGAGGGAATGGTAAGAACGTTAGACAATCAGCTGTAACGAGGTCGTTTCCGAATTCGTTTGATGGTGAGTGACGGACCGGTGTGGATGGACTGAAATCGGTGAACAGATAGAAAAGACAGAAGAAGACCGGGTTTTAATCTGAGACAGACGTAAACAAAAACAGAAAAGAATTTAGACGTGTTTATCAAATGCGTTTACCTGTGTATTACAAAATAATCAAGTGAATAAACAAGTTCTTGATTAGGATCAGACATCATCTTTAGCAATTCATACAAGTTTATCGAAACCAGGGTGGGCGAATGTTGTTGGTTTTTTTAGTCAGGAGGGAGGGCTACAGAGAAAGCGCGCGCTACACGCACAACACGGTTCTCCACTGCATTTTGTTACTTATTACACACAATTCGATCAGATAGAAATGTATTGACGAACACTCAACAGGTGAGTACTGCATCAAAACGACATCAAGCAACTCATAGACTCTGCGAATGCATGTGTCCGTGAGCTTAAAATTCGGGACAAAGAGACCGGATGAGAGTTTTACCTCCGGACCAGAAGGTTCATTTTCTAATTCGGATCAGGGACACAAAAGTAGTACACACTGTTGATGAATCCAACGGGAGATGAAGCTGTTGTTTATCACACAATTTCATCGCACTTAGATTTGTTTATTGCATGCGCATTCACTCACAAAGTGCATAGTTTCCATGATATGGCTACTGTGTCGGTCTCAATCTTTGCTTAGTTGTTTATTCTGCACACGTTTGTTCCAATAAACATTATCATAATGAATCAGATTTGCGATGAAAATTTTTGTGTGACGTCTTGTAAAAAGAGTACGAAAAGCGTTTTTTGTTTTTTCTTCATTTACACACATTGCAATGTTTTTTCATCTTTTTCTCTGGTAGCCTTTCAGTGAGATAAATTCTCTAACTGCAAGCAGTTTACCTGTAATTGGCATCACATGTTCTCCACACCAAGGGGGATTCGTACCATACCATTTAAAGTTAGATTTGAGAAACTATAAGTTTCTACCTTTTCAGGGTAACCATAGATTGATTTCATGATTGCTGCTTTGATTTTTTGACTTAATCAATTCTTGACAGAATGTATTCGGTTGGGAGTAATTGAAGTGACGGCGGTTTCACTTGAAGCTCGAACGTACAGGAGATAAGACTGCATCATGATGTCATTTAGCATATAAGAGATGATAACATCGTATACTTCACACTGAACAATCTCAGTGATCAACAGAAGAGGAAAGACCCTTAATAATAATAGGCACTGGAGTGATGCGAAGAGCTCGCCATGTACTAGCTAGTCGACCTAACTTATAGATACCAATAATGTTCATTTCCGTCGAATATGTTTGCAGTTCTGCCGGAAGATTGCTGCAGGTTATTCTTAGTGTCCTTACATGGGTCAATGTGGTGGCTGACGGTCAGCTTATAAAAAAATTTCCGCTGTAATGCTGTGTAATTCATGGATGTTTTTTATGCAGCAATATTTTTTCTGACAATGAGTATCCGCTTTTCGCTTTGAAAACATCTTTTTTAAACGAATGGATTACGTTCTGTTTGGCTCAGCTCTACGGGTTTAGTGAAGAATGAGCAGTTTGAGAATCGATACCATTTTAATACCATGTAGGAATGGAACTTATTACTGATTGAAAGGAGTTCATGAAAACGATCTTTTTGTGTGCATTAGCAGTGGCTGACTCTTGTCTCGCAATCCTGGTCAGCTCCAATCGATAACCACGGAGAAACACACGGTCTTGTTTGACATCTCAAAGGCCTTTGACTGAGGTTGGCACGAAAGTCTACTGGCGAAACTACCGTGTGAAGGAAACCCCGAAGGGGATAGAGACGTTTGCGTGTGTGCACTAAAGTTGTGATCTTTTTTCCGAGGCCAGTTGATCGATTATGCTTAGACGGGAATGAACAAACACCAGAGCAACTGGCCTCGGTCGGCTTGGCAAGAGATGCGAGTCGAGATAAAATAAATCAATGAACCGTTTGCCATGATCAAGCGTGTGTGTGGACATAAAATAGTTAGGTGCTCCATGGCCTGAAAACGTCGGTGCACGAAATTTCACGGAGGTAATGATTTTTTCAAATTCAACCGCTTGCGTTGTTTCTATTGTAAATGCTCGAGCATTAAAAGAAACAATTAACAAAGAGCTTAACACTGGCTTTAAAATAGAAAAAAGTGATACCGAAAAAAGCAAATGCTGACCGTTCCCTATTTCCACTTAAATGAACTGTGTTCATCAGAGGTAGATACATTACCAGTTCAAGTATAATAAACACCGTTCGAGAAGGACACCCCACTACAATCATCAGCCCATTAACACTGCAAAATTTAACTTAATTACCACGGTCGAGGGTCAAGAATTACGTGTTTCGTCTAAAGCTTTATGCGAAAAGATGTACTGAAGGAAGTGTCTTTTTGCGGTATCAGTGTTGATGTATTTCACGACTTGTGAACACAAAACAATGTACCGTTTGTGTTACATTTGAGATTTTTACTCACCGAAGTATTACATGTTATACGGAAACACTGAAACTGCACGAGGTATGTCAAATGATTTGACGATCAGGGCACATAGTTTAAACCTAAAATCAACGTACGAAGCTGCGTGCGAACACCACACACTCTCTTTTTTTAACCAAGCTTTGTAACATCAACATTTGTAGAAAAAATTCTTTTTTATCAATCATTAACCTCACAGTATTCCGATACATTTGATCTGACTCGCCTACAGCGGTATGACTACAGTTTGTATACCGAAGCTAAAGGACTAGGAGTCATGGCTGAAACATTTCAGGTTTTGGCTAAAGTATTGAGGGTTTTGGCTAAAGGGTTACTGGTCGAGGCTAAGGGACTGCGGGGTTTTGGCTAAAACTTGATCGGAAAAGGTGTAGTCGAAGTGTGGGCAGAGATGGCACAACAAACTTACCGGTTGAGTGACAGGACTGGGAGTTAGATTGATCTCCGGATGATCACCATGCACAGGTAGCATTGAATCAATAGCAGCGTGCACATGTTGTGCGGCGCAGTAGGGAATGCTTTCGCTCGAGTGTGTCATCACAATACGAGCCATTGTGGACAGCAAGTGATGCGTGAAGCTCAGTCGATTGTCGATTTGTCCGCTCTCTACTTGGGCCTTAATGGACATAAAAGCTGTACGCAACGGTCCACATTCGGAGGCGTCAGGATACGGAGGTGATCTGTTGATGGAAAAGCGGAGTATAGGGTTGGAGGAGGAAGACTGTTTGGATACGGGCCAATAAATACCATCGAGTCATGCGACAAATCTGTCTCTGTTACAAAACAACCGTGCTGTTACAGAAATTGCTAATAGTAGATGCTTGCAGGTTAGAAATCTCGCATGTTAGAACCTCACCACTCCTACTTAGATGTGTTCACAGACAGTTCCGCTGTTTCTCGATTCCATAGCACATTCATCGCGGTTCGCTACTCTGGACCACAGATCTAAAGTAGCCGGGCTCATCGTTATATATCTTTTGTATTATGGTCACATTTTTCACTATGTTCTTACTTTCCAGTGAACACAAGCGAACTGTATACGTAAGTTCGTACGTCCTTACCGTGCAATGTCTCCCCCCCCCCCGCCCATCGGCTCACGGTAAGTCGCACTTCCCGATACCTTTTCATTTGGTTGTTGATTGATGTACGGGTTACAATTCATCATCCAGCAGGCAATGTCACATTCAGTCGGTGACATCACACCAGTTTCCATTTGTCACCGAGTGGGGCGCACACATGACACCTCACTAAATGTCAGTAATGACGTCCGATCCCGAGGCTCACCACCAGATCACCTTTTGTGGGCGGTCAAGCCTTCTAAGTTGCAACCGCTGGCGTGCACTCAACCCAAACGTTCCAGGTTCAAATTCTGCTAACGCCATACATCGTTGGTCGTATGCATTTTAGCTATCTTGCGGCTCAATATAACATCTATTAGGGCTTTATGTGCTTCTCCGCTCCAAATCAAAAGGCTTGGGTTACTGATTCCCTCTACAGAACAGTAGGTCCTGGGGACATTCAGGTTCATCTGCTCGGACGGTCATCACACTGTGAGCAATAAAAAGTCTTGCTACACTTGGCGAAAATTCGCACTTTTCCTACCGCATAATCATTTATTCCTAATCCGGGCCATGAATGTATCATTCGCTCATCTGTTCGCGGGATGACGTCTATACAGTTTACTTCACACAGCCACGGTTCCGATTTGAAAGCTTAATCTCCACGGTAATGAGCAACCTTCTATGAGATCTAGATCAATATTTGTCACCATGCATGGTTGAATTTGATCTGTTAGCTTGTGCTCATCGGAGGCGCATAACGTGAACAGTTACATTTAACTCACAACAACCGGCGAGTGACGGAGTGGGTCCGGAGTACGAATACCGGACGGAATGGTGGATATGCATCAGAGGAAGAACTCTAAGTGGAGTGAAGCTCGAGTCTACCACTTCCCGAGGCTGGGGTTCGCATAGAGCATAGAACGTGAAGACGGAGTTCGAAGGACAGTCAGTCTACATCAATGTGAACTTGACTTGAAAATATTGTGACGGACGAGTATTATCCAAACAGAAAGAGTTACGAACGGTGACTTGCACAGCAGACCATTTTGCCGCATTTGTACTCATCTATACCCCACAGTGAATGTGATTATTCATATCCGTAGAAACCAAGTAAACGAAAATCGCATACGTACACAGTCACAGAAAAGGAGTAGAAACATAATTTTAGCTACTAAAGAGGAGAGCCAAAGTGACTCCGAGCTACGAAAAAGGACTATTCCTTTTTGTCCGATCTTGAGAACTAACGTCCTAGTCGCACACCACATCCACTGCTTCCTGTGAATGCATGCAATTTACTTGTTGGTCTATTTGTTAATTTTCTGCCTAGAACAAGGACCACATTAGCTAAAAATATGTACATGTAGCATTGCAGTAAAATGATTCCGCATGATTTTCAACAAACAAATGATCTTAGATTCTTTGTTGCAATCCGAACTGTTTGTTTGTTCCCGGTGATTATGCACCGAGGTGTAATTAATCCGAACAGGAATCTGCTTTGGCCAATATCCTGGATGCGAGCTGAAGTGCTTATGTGCACCTGTTAGTTGGACAAGAAACCAAGTGTGAAAAGATTACAGCTCCCGGTATGATAAAGTAGCTCAAGTGTTGAAGAAACAGAGCGGTGTTCGTGAACGAGATCGAAACCCCGCAGTTTCGCAATGTTTTTACAATCGTAGTGCATCGAAAGTCACTCAAATAAAGAAATCCTATTTGATTCATTATAGCATATAAATAACTCGCAAAATGTACGCAAAAAAATAATATCATGGATTAGCACACGCAAATGCTCAGCTCATCTAGACATCGAGCTACTCAATCTGGAAAAGGAAACCAGTAGCCCAAATTGAGTCTGTCAGGCACAATAGAAACGATGAAGATTACCCAAAGTTTTCAAAGAGAAACAGAGAGAGAGAATAAAGGTCATTACAGCGACCTGGAGATCGGACACACCTATCAGATACATCTTCAGTAGTATCATTCAAGAGGAACTTATCCAGCGCATGCTCTGCAACCGACAGAACAGAACAGTACCACGATGTATCAGTGTCATGA